TGGTACAGTATTATCTACGTCATCACACAGGAAGCCCAATATGATAAAACACAGGAGTCCCAACTTACACACGAAAAGTTACGAATAGTTCACGAAGAATAACGAAAATGAATCGGCGGAAAAGCGAGTAGTTACGAAGTTATTTCAAATTACATTCCACTTACTCCAGGCGATAGCATAGTGGCTTGAGCCTCGTTTCGATGCAATAGCCACAAAAACTGCAATAATCATTCCAAAATTTCAGCACGTTTGACTAAATATGTTTGCGTAGCGAGCGAGTTAAAAAAGTACAAAATWTGCGTTTCATTAGTTGTGATCCACCTTAAAAATACCCTCGGGGAAATTATACCCGTCGGTAACATGGATCGATGAATATATAGGTCGCGAAGATCGTCGTCGATATAAGCCAATGTCTTAATCGATAAAGGAACGACAATTAATTGCGACGCAGCTAGCCACAAAAATAGCATATCAAACTAACAAGTAACAATATATAACAAGAGGGCATGTTATTCATGAGCTAGTCCCACGTATCTCAATCGCTGGAACTCGGGTTTAGCTGACTCTGGCTGACTAAACCCTTTGAAAATCGATATATTCTATAATGGAGTTGTGCCTGGTCGCTCTCAAATGTGGGAAACCATAAGAACGTATAAATAGCCAGTCAATCTCAAAAATAATATGCACACATGCGTAACAACTTATTTTAACTATTCACATAATTCAAAGTAAGTGGATGTAGCTTGTGGATGTCAATCTTTAAGCATGCGCATTGCAATTGGGAACATCAACCAAAAAAGCTTTCTTTTATCCCKGAAATCGTTTATTCATTCACTATTTATTCACTTTTGTCATGGTATATACTGTATTTGAGATTCGTTCAATTAGAAATATTACTTGTTAAAAAAAATTGCTTTAGTTGTCCCCTTGCATGTTGATRCAAAAGAAATCCCTGTCGCTCCACTCTCTGATATTCTCGACTTCAGCTAAAACAACTAAAACAACTTTCTGCCATTTCTAATCAACCTGACGTATTGCAAAAAGTCATCCATGAATTTAAATGTTTTATGTGTTAACAGGAATGTATCTTATTGAATTTCCAAATATTAAAAATGTAATGTATGATATATAAAGTACCCAAAATGTTTTCTGTTTTGTTCTAAAAATAAATTCATTTGATTTCCCAAGAGTAATTATAGTAAAAGTTTGTTATAAATTTTTTGATATATAACGCGCGCTCTGATTGGCTGACGACCGTGTTTATATCAGAGGACAGAGACACGGCTTACCG